CTGTGAGTTGTGGATGGGCATCAGTCAGCTGGGGCTGATCCCAGCCTGTCCCTGCTCTGCAGAAACGTGGTGACAGCAAAAGAAAAACAGCCCAAGTCCTTTCACAGTTCCCTGGGTCAGAGCGAGTGCTCAGGTTAGAGTTACTGACTGAGAAAGGATGTATTGTAAGTATCTAATAAGGGTCTAATTATCGGGAACTAGATGTACTGAAAATATGGATTCTCTCTTTTCCGAGATACTGCCAGTTACCCAGCACAGATAATCACTGCTGTCAGTGTCTTTGGTGATACACGTGCCCTGTGGAGTGTGGTGGGCAGTGCTGTGTGGAAGGCGAAGAAAGAAATGTCAGACAGGAGCAAGTGAGGCCAAAAAGACGTGTGTTCAAGTAAATGACAAGGGGGGTGAGAAGTGGGTTGGCCCTCAGGACTGGACTGTCAAGGCCCTGGGCTCTGGACAGGCTGTTGGACTCGGCCCAGGTGGCAGGGAAGTGATGAAAACACCATTTGGATGTTTGGACTCATGATCTGCAGATCAAGCACGTTGGTCTCCTTCCCTTCCTCTTGCTGTTAAGTCTCTCAGGCACAACAAATCCATGTAGAGCAGAAATCTAGATGAAAAGGAACCTGATTTGTCTGGTCCCAAGTAGCTTTGCAGCTGTGTGAGACAAAGGTGTTGCTGCTGAAGGCAGGTGGGAGAGCAGAGGCGTTCCCAGGTCAGGTTCACTGGAGTGGCTGGAGAGGAGGGAGCTGTGCCAGGAGTCCCCAGTCACGCTGGCCTGGGCTGCTGTGGCAGTTGGATGGAGCAGCTGGGAGTGGGAGAAGTGACAAGAGCAATGTGACAATGAGCTGAGGGGAGCAGCAGTCACCAGGCACAGGGTGTTAACAGCAGCCTGCTGCAGCTGACTCCCAGTCACTGCTGAACTCCCCTTAGTGTCCCTCTGTCTCATCACTCAGCATCCCTGTGGCTCAGATCTAATTCAGCGTTGATTCCTGGACCAGCCTGAATTCTTTCTTATCAGAAGCAAACTCTTAACCCAAAATGCCACAGTGGAGGCAGGTGACACCTGCATCCAGTTCGCTGCAAGCACAGAAAGGGTCACTGGTCACATCTTGGGGCTGCCTGTTTATGTGATATCATGTATATGAGTACACAGACTTGCTCCTGAAATGGTGCAGGTTCAGTTTTAGCAGCCAATAATTCATCGTGATGGATATTTGAGTCTCTTTTCCTTCCATACTGGCTTTTTTCTGTACATAAATTCCTTATTAACGACACCTCTGGAATAAAGCTTCACATTCCCTTTGCATATGAAGTTGTTTCTTCAGTGTGTAGTTACTGAAGGTGCTAAATTGAATGAAAATGAATAATTATCCAATTGTTTCACAAAAAGAAAGCACACTGGTGTGCTGGCAGCCTTTTGTAGTGTAAATCATGAAAACTCCTACATAAGTACAAGTGAAAACACCTTGAGGAAGGGACAAGTAAGGTAGGAAGAAAGAATTGTCCTGGCATTTTGCATGCTAGATCAGACAGGTAGTTGATGTCAAATATATCTGGTCAAGAATTGTAATGCTGCCAGGATTTCAGTAAAAAACCTGATTTTTACATGAAACCAGTTGTGTCCCGCTTGCATGTCTGTAAATTTTACGGGGCTGAACAGACCTCAGTGCTTATAAAACAGACTGCAATTGGTCTCTTTGCACTTGTGATCATCACCTTTTCCAGCCATACCGTGCTTTGGGGGCTTCATTTTTCCATTTAGCCACAGATCCCAGAGCTCAGGAGCTCTCAGATCTCTGAATTGTGCTGCTGTCAGTGTGTGAGGGGAGGTGACACTCCTGTGTGTTTGCTCTGAGGAGGCTGTACATCTTCCAGCCTAGTATTAATTTCAGGAGGAGCAGGGGCAGCTGTCAGCCACGATTCTGTGGTGTTTGAGAAATCTGTAGCGTCACTGTGCCCACACAGATTAGTAAGTTTGACAAGTTGAGATGAGTGCTGAGAACTGGCCTTTGTTTTTAATTTTAAAAATGGTGTGCTTGGCACTATTAGCCAGCACAGATCTTGGCAGATCTTGGAGAGTCATTTGGTGGTGTTTTCCCAAGACACACCCACTCTAGAGCACATTAGTCTTGGAACTGGAGAGGATCTCAGGTGCTGGAGAGCAGATCCCCACGCCTGCTGCCCTTTGAGGGGTGAAACGTGGTTGGAGAGGCTTTGGAGCCTGTGGACACCTTCTGCACTGGTTGGTCTGTGACACTGTATCCTGCAGCTGGTAGGACTGGGTGGACAAGCTGTTGTTTTTTCCGCTGGAATGGCCCTTGTTGTCCATCAGGCTTTCCTCCTGGAGCAGGTGCTGATGTCCACACCCGCCTTTCCTATTTTACCTTTATTTGGTAAAGGCACTGCCTGCCTTTCCTATTTTACCTGGACAGTATCAGTGAGGTGCATGACTCCTCACTACATCTAGACATGCATTTTTGGCTTCATGTGAAGCCTGGAAAGACAGCATCAGCCATAAGTTCAACAGGCACAGCTCTTTCTTTAGGTCTCCTGCAGTGTCTCCTCCTGGTCAGTTCCAGTATCCAGAGACTGTGAGGTGTCACTAGGGGACAAATGAAATGAAACCTGAGTTGTGTCAGCTTGAGCAGTCCTGACAATCACTCCTTGAGCAAAGTGGCCAGAGACATATTTATCTCCTGGTGGTGCTGGAGGAAGTTGTGTCTCAAGCAGAAAAATGAGATAAGGGTGACACCCTGGACCAGCTCAGTTCTGGTCAGTCTCGGTTGCAAACGCAGCAGGGGGAGAGGCCCTGGGCAATGTGAGCCTGATCCAGGATGGATTTCAGATTCAAAATGTGACAGTCTGCAGCTTGGGAAGGCTCTTCTGACAGGGTCACAGGAGCCCTTCAAAGGCAGCAGAATGTGGCAGCAGTGAAAGGCCTGTGTCACACTCACCCACCACCAATCTTGTCCTGAGATAGGTTTCTTCCTCCTTCATCTCTTCATGGCCAGTATCAAGGCAGCCAAGCCCTCAAGCTGTGGCTGAGTTCTTCCAGGTCGTGACTCACTAGCTCCTTAAATATCTACTGAAGTGAAGGCTCGGGTTTTCCTTCTGTCTCTGTTTTAAGTGCTGCTGTCTGTGCTGGACACTAATGATTTCATTTTTTGGGGGTAGTAGTCACATGAATAATGCATTCCCTGCTGAGCCTTTTTACCAGTCCCCTATAGCTGCTTCCCATCTGAAGGGAAGTGTAAGAGGTAATTAACAGCCACTTGAAAAAGGATTAGCAGGTGGGTGGGAGCTACTGTTGGGTTCATGCATGGAATTGCCATGGAAATGCTGAGATTTCCTGGCACTTCATCCAGTGTGTGGGCTCCAAAGATAGTTACACTCATGGGTCTCTCTCCTTTCGATCTTCCTACCCTACAAAGGGAGTGGCTGTGTTTTCCTCCAGGACAGCTTCCACTTCCAGGGGCTGTGCTGTCACTGTCTGCACACACAGTGGGTGTGCTGGCCAGGGGTGCTGCGGGGAGCGGGTGCTGTGCTGCACCTCTCAGCTGAGGTCTTTCTGCATTTCTTTCTTTCATCTCATAGAATCACTGAATATCTGAGTCGGAAGGGACCCACAAGAGTCGTTGAGTCCAACTCCCTGACCCTGCACAGGACACCCCAACAATCCCACCCTGTCCCTGAGAGTGTTGTCCAAATGCTTCTTGAACTCAGATAGGGTTGGTGCTGTACCCACTGCCCTGGGGAACCTGGTCAGTGCCCAACCACCCTCTGGGTGAAAATCCTTTACCTGAGATCCAAACTAACCCTCCCCTGATGCAGCTCCAGGCCATTCCCTCGGGTCCTGTCACTGCTCACAGAGAGCAGAGATTGGAGCTGCCCCTCTGCTGCACCTCAGGAGGATGTTGAAGACCCCAGTGAGCTCTCCCCTCAGTCTCCTCTTCTCCAGCTGAACACCCCAAGTGCCCTCAGTGTCCTCCCACGGCTACAAATCCAGGCCCTTCGCCATCCTCGTTGCCTCCTTTGGACACTCTCTAATGGCTTCAGCTCTTCCTTGCGTTGTGTCCCCCCAGACTGCCCCAAGATTGCAGGGGAGGCCGCCCAGGGCAGGGCAGAGCAGAGCGGGACAAGCCCCTCTCTGGCCCGGCCGGCCATGCTGGGCCTGCTGCCCCCCAGGACAGGCTTGGCCCTCCTGGCTGCCAGGGCACTGCTGACTCAGGGCCAAGTGGCCACTTCCCAGGACCCCCAGGGCCCTTTCTGCAGCACTTCTCTCCAGCCTTTTGTTCCCCAGTCTGTACACATAGCCAGGATCAGTACCTGCCCTGTTGGCAGAAAATTAGGAGGAAAAAAACCCAAACCCTTTCCCAGTGTTCTAAAAGAACTTGATGCATAAAACAGAGTTTGGCACTTGGAGAGGTTTGTGCTGGTCCTTGTCCTGCAGACTGTGACCAGCTCAGAACCCGCTGGAGCAGAAAGGGCTGCAGCTGAACCAGGGCTGTCTTGCACAGGAGCATTTTCAGGCTGTGCAATAAGACCTGCATTGGTGGCCTCACATGCTTAAAATATTGGGCCTATTTGTGAGGAATGTCTCTCATTTCAGTGCCAGCTCTGGAGGTTTAGAAGGCAGCAGTGGGCACACATTCATCTGAAACAGTTCCTGGGGGAACCTGCTGTATTTCTCTCCTTGCTCCCCTTTCTGCAGCAGTAGCAAAGAGCCTCGTGAATTTGAATCGGGGTGCTTTGGTTTTAAGGAGCACGTGCCTTTTGTTTCAGACCACCTGTTAGCAGACTCCTACATCGGGCAGGAGGACTCCCCTGAGCTGCAGCAGGCGGCGCAGAACAAGCGCAGGCTCTCGGTCATCTCGGACGGCAAGTTTGAGAGGAGCTTCGAGGAGCAGGCGGAGAAGATCCCGAGCGAGGCAGCCAAGCCCCGGGTGTACACGATCTCCGGAGAGAGGCCGATGCTGTCGGACCACGAGAACGACAGCATGGAGCTGGTGGTGATGAAAGGGGCTGCCCAGGACGAGTGTCACCACGGCCACCACGGGCACGGCGCCGGCGGCTCCCACGGCGTCAGCAGGCACTGCAAGGGCTGGCCAGGCAGCCGCCAGGGCTCCAAGGAGTGCCCAAACTGCACCCGCCTGGCTGCCCCTTCCCAGCAATCCTTTGACCTGGAGCAGCATCCGCCCAGCGAGACTGGGTGGCACAGGAAGAGGCTGGAGAGGATGTACAGTGTCGACAGAGTGTCTGGTAAGTGAGGGGTGAGTGTTGGGTGCTGGAGGGACACAAAGGGTCTCATCCCAGCACAGAGGGTTTGTTGCCAGGTGCCTGGAGTTGGGCCTTGTAGCACTTCGCTTTTGGCACCTTGTTGGTACTGTCACAGAATCCCAGAATATTCTCAGTTGGAAGGGACCCCCAAGGATCAGCGAGTCCAACCCTCAGCCCTGCACAGGCCCATGCCCAAGGGTCACACCCTGTGCCTCAGAGGATCAGCCAAACTCTCCTGGAGCTCTGGCAGCCTTGGTGCTGTGCCCACTGCCCTGGGGAGCCTGGTCAGTGCCCAACCAGCCTCTGGGGGAAGAACCTTTTCCTGAGATCCAACCTGAGCCTGCCCTGACACAGCTCCAGGCCATTCCCTGGGTGCTGTCCCTGGTCCCCCCAGAGCAGAGCTCAGTCCCTGCCCCTCCTCTGCCCCTGCCCAGGAAGCTGGAACTGCCATGAGCTCTCCCCTCAGTCTCCTCTTCTCCAGCTGAACACCCCAAGTGCCCTCAGTGTCCTCACATGGCTTCAAATCAAGGCCGTGCACCAGCATTCCTGGAAAGGGATTTTCAAAGAAGGAGTCTGGAATAAGCTGGGCTCAGCTGGGGGCCAGCTGTCCAAGCTCTGTTGTCTCTCCTTCCAGCTGGTGAGCAGCATCTGACCTGGGTGGTTTTCATGACACCTTCGTGCAGCTCAGTGAGGGTGAGCTCTGTGGGCTCTCTTTCTGTGGAAGGAAGAGCAAGAGAGGAGGGGCTGTGTCTGAGTACCTTCACCCCTGCTCATCCCAGAGCAGGACTCTCTCTGCTTCATGCTGGGCAGGGGAAATCTTTGTGACTGTGCCACAGTGCTCTGTAGAACCCTCAGCTCAGGTGACAGTGTTCTGCACTTTGGTGTGTCCCCCAAAATGCTCACCTGTGTGGCTGGAAGCATTTTAACAGGGTCACTCGTGTACTGCCACCTCATGGGCTTCCCATAAATTCAGCAGATAGCACAGTATTGAACTTTCTTCCCTGCTCACTATCCATTTGCTCAGTGTTTTCAGGGAATAGGACTTGTAATTATTCAATTACATTAAAGAAATCCCTGGCTGTCTTTAAAAACTGAGCCATTAATCAAATATATGTCACAGTCTGTGTGCTTTGAATTATAAACTAGTGCACAGTCCATCTTTGCCTGTATGTGGCTGGCAAAGAGTCTGACCTAATTTGTCTGATTTTTTCTGTAAACACACATCCAGGCTTTTAGAGCAGAGAGTCAAGCCAGGAAAGGTCCAGGTTTTCTCCTGGAGAAGAAATTGAGTATAAGGACTGTGGAGATCAAACTGTCCAGCTTTCCTGTGTTCATAGTTTCCTAGTAAATAACATAATGATGTCTACTACAGGTAAGATCACCAGAGTTTGGGTTCTGGACCATACTTTCATGCTTAGATCCTTGAAATTATGTGACTAAATTATAATGTATGGCCTAAAACTGAAGAATAGTAGTGAAAAAATAGGTGATTATCAAATGTGCAGAACAATTACAGTCCCATGGAATCCTGTACATGGTTTTTAAGCATTATTCCCTCTGTTCCCTGGGATTTTTTGGACTTCACATCAGACACTGCATGTGCAAGTTTAGACTTTATTATTTTTATTGCTAAAGTGCAAGAAAAGGAGTGATAAGAGTTTTTCTGTGTGGAAACCTTTTAGGGTTTTATGATCATATGCGTTTTCCCTCTTAAAAAGATGGCTCTGCATGTGTTGGCAGAGCCAGAAAGCTTGTCTGAGGTCAGGAAAAGAAAGTATTTTCAAGAAAGTAGATCCCAACCCCAGGGGCTTGGTCTCCTGGAGATCAGGGTGCTGAGTTGACTTGGTTGCAGCCTCATGATGTGTACTGAATTAAGAAAAGGAAGATTTCCTGGCCTAGTGCTGGTGGGTTGGTGTTGAAAGCTTTCCTGATGTTGTGGTTTAACTCTGTCCTCAGCAGCTGCTCAGTCACTGCCCCAGTGGGGTGGGGAAGAGTAAAGGTGAGAAAACTTGTGGGTTGAGATAAAGACAGTTTAAGTGAAGCAAGTGAAGCAAAACAAGGAATTAATTCCCCATGGGCAGGGATGCTCAGTGATTACAGAACATCCCTGTGTTATCAGCACTGTTTTCAGAGAATCAGGGAATGGTTTGGGTTGGAAGGGACCTTAAAGCTCATCTCATTCCAACCCTGCCATGGGCAGGGACACCTTCCACTAGCCCAGGTTGCTCCAACCCCCGTCCAACCTGGCTGGATTTCAGTACAAATTTCAGTACAAATCCAAAGCACAGCCCCATACCACCTACTGTGAAGAAAATAACCTTCATCCCATCCCAAACTAGCACATCTGAACAAATCAAAATTGCACTGTGCACTGTGGGACTGAAGCAGGTTACTTGATGCAGAACCAAAGGAAAACTCCACATCACTAATGGAGGGGTTTAACTCCTCATAGCTGGACCTAAACTGCTCAGTTTGCTGGAAAATGTGTCTTAGCAAATCCTGCAGGCAGATGCCATGTTCTGTTTCTGGGCCTTGGAGTTTAATATCTGTTTTAAACTAGGCAGCAATTTTTGCTGGGGCCAGTTACCAACGTGAAATGGAGATCTGTCTTTCTGAAAATATATCAAGAGCAGTTACTTAAATGGGAACAAAGTGGGCCAGTGGATGCCTCCATGAGTAGTTTGTGTTTCATACAAACAGGCAGCAGCTCCCCTTGGTGATTCTCTCAAGCCTCTGAGTTGTGGCACGTGTGGCTGCACAGGCAGGGCTGTGTCTCCGAGCCCAAATCCCATCGCAGCTCTGGCATCGTGGAAGGAAATTTTCCTCATTTGCGCTCTGTACCCAAGTGTTGTCCCTCAGAGAGAACCAGAGAACTGAGCAGCACAAGTGGCACAGGCTGCAAGAAGAATTCCCTGGCATGTCCTTCTTGCCTGGCTAGCAGGAAAAGGGGACAGAGAAGAGGGGAGATGGGGGAGAGGCTGATTTCCCCAGAGGTTCACCCTGCAGTGCTGCTGCTCTGTTTGGATTTACATGACATGTTGCTGCCAACCAACACTCGTGGCAGCCAGGCCTGATTGGCATCATTTAATATGGATTTTGATGCTGAGTTTACACCATTCCAGGGAAGCACAAGCTGTCATCTGCTGGGCTGCTCCCAGCATCTCTCACAGACACATCCACTCGTGGATCCACATCCACCATGGACAGTGGTTCTGGGATTTGGGTGCAGTGGCTGGAGATGCTGATTGTGGTGCTGGTGTTTCTCAGTCTCACCAAGCCCATGGCCCCTCAACTGTTTCATCACAGCTGATGCAACATGAAAGGAGAACAAGCTGCTCTGCCTGGCCAAAAAGGAGTTTGCTGTTGTGCAAACTCCTGGCAGCAACAGCCATACCCATAGTCTGAATTTTAATTCAGTGGGTGAGCTCTGGAGCTGAGCTGTGCTGCCTAATCCTCACCTCTGTGCTCCTCTGCTGCTGTTCTGCCTCTGGCTGGTAAAGAGACACCTCTGAAGGGTCCCAAATCCTTAATTCTCCATTGAGTGCTGTGTGTAGGACAGGGATATCCTTCCTATATTGACTCCTGTCTGGGAGAAAAGGAGGGGAGGCTCCCAGGGATGGTCCAGGCAAAGGCTCCTAAGGAAATTAGCTGTTGTTCATAAGCTTTGCTTTGAACCAAAGCTAGTGGCTTAAAAGCTGTAAAATACATCAAGAGATGTCAGTTCTTTGAGATGTGTAGCCCCTGAGAAGTCTGCACAGAATTGTTGGCTAAAAAGGAATTTGTACAACTTCTCCTCCACCACTTCTGTGGGTTTGAGACTTCAAACAAGTAATTCCTTTAGAGTCTGAGTTGTTCTGCATTGCTTCTCTGTGTTTTGGAGGAGAGCAGACTTAGGGACTGCATCACAAGTCCTTACCATACTGGAATGCAGCTTTCATTTAACATATATATTTCCTTAGGGTGCCTTTAAACAGGACTTGATGTAAACTCTTAGCTGAGAGGGAGTGTTTGGTACAGCTTTCTATAGATTTCTGGGAAGCTTCACTTCAAAGGAATTCTCCCCAGTTGCGGTTAGCAGTTTTTGCATCTGTGACTGCAGCCACTTTTTGTACTTTCAGGGAGTAGCAGGGTCAGTCTGTAACATATGATGATCTGTCCAAGACATTTGGTGACATAGCTGGTCTGTAGGAATTATGTCTGCAGTGGGCATGTGGGGTTTGACTGGGTCTAGGCCAATGCAAGTGAGCTAATAATAATATATATAGAAAAATATAATATATATTATATAAATATATATGTATAAAATTATATATATAATAATAATAATGCCAGAATATTAATGGCTAAGATACCACAGTTACAAATGATCTGAAAACTTGAATGGCCAAAGCAACACCAACATGTGGCAAGGCATTGGGCAAGGAAGCCACAAAACTGGGAGTGAAGCAAGATGAAAAATCAGGTAGCCCCAAATCCCAGGAATCCAGTCCACTGAGATCTCTCAAGTCTTGTGTCAGTGGATTTCAATACCCCTCTGATTTTCCTCCTGCCTGACTCCAGGCTGAGAGTTCTCAGGGACAGGTTCCTCCTCCTGGGCACCACCATCCCTCACATGTAATTAGTGAATTATTTTGCTGCCTCCTTTTTGTCTTAGTGATCATTCTGTGAAGGTGGTGCAGTGTCCTGATGCCCTGGAATTAGGAAATAATCCCCAGTTGGTTTTGGCAGGGCAGTTTACAAAGAGAGGTGACCAAGTCAGCCCAGTTACCTGCAGATTTATAGCTGATGGGCAGCTTGACTTCCAAACCAGAACTCCTGAGGGCAGGGTCACCAGGAGCAGGTGTGTGAGGGGTTTATTGAAACTTCAGTGGCACCAAAAGAGATCTCAGGCTCACAATTCTCAGGAGAGGCTTCTACCAGAGGCTATATCAGAAAGAACTGGAGGAATGGGACATTTCAAATTAATGGTATAAAGGAAAAAGCAGAGACTGGAAAATGCTTTTAATGAAAAATGTTTCTTTCCACTGTTGTTTTTTTTTCCCGGTTCAAATGTCACTTCTGTAATTCCTGGATTACTCTAATCTTCTGTGCTTAGGATAGAGCTTTTATTCTTCATTTAGTAGCCTGATAGACAGGCTTAGCACCAATTTACAGAGCACTGGGTGGCAGTGTGCATATATATGAGGAGGATGAGACTCCTGCTCAGTACAGGGCAGGATGCTGAAAAAAAAAGTCCTAAGAGAAAGAGCTTGGGAAGTCTGACTGTCTGAAGGACGTCTGTGCCCTCTGGGTGCTCAGGCTTTGCTCTCTGTCTCTTCCAGATGATGTCCCCATACGAACCTGGTTCCCAAAGGAGAACCTCTTCAGTTTTCACACCGCTACTACAACTATGCAAGCGTAAGTGAAACCCCTGCTGTGGCTTTGGTGTGGATCTCAGAGCCCACAGCCTGCTCAGAGCTGTGTCTGAGAGCCTCGAGTTGTGTGTTGGGCATCACAGTCCGGGGGTGAGAGAGAGAGAAACTTGTCTCTTATTAATTTTTTCCCACTGATTAGTTCTTTCCTACTGCTCTCATTTATTTGGTTTTACCTTCTTTAACTCCTTGGGCTACTCAGTTCTCTCTGCTTCCCTTGTTTTGTCTGTGACACTGTGCCCTGGCCCTGGCTGCCATGCAGAGGGAGGGTCCTCTGGGAGCACCAGCTGAGACCCTCCACCACTTCCTTCTGCTGCACCCACTTCCCCGAGGGAAGGTTATTCCAGGTTTTCCCTGTGTGGCTCACTCCAGAGACATCCCCTTTCTATGGGATAAGATGTAACCCTACAGTTCTGCACTGGTCTGGTCATATGAAGAAGTTGTCACTAAAATCCATGCAAAGTATGAAGGGATGTGAGTTGGAAGAGCCTTTCCCTCCACACTCCATGCAGGATTTGGTGCCCCTGGTTGTTGTGCATTGGGAGGAGACAGTTCTCAAAGGGCTGAAGAGAGCAAGGAAAGCCTCATTTCCAGGTTGTACCCAACTTGTCAGGAGGTTTTGTCTTCCTGGCTTCAGTTATTTCCTACCTGACTGGAAAGCCAAGGCAAGCAGTGAGGAAAATGAGACAATGTCCTGCTTTCCAAGGCCCTTCTCCAGCCTTGTCACTTTTCCCCTGTGTGCTTCTTCCATGTCTGGGACTCCCTCAGCTCTCCTGCTCTCCCTGTTTCCTTCTTGTCTAATCTGGTGTCCTTTTTGTAATCTGTTTCTCTGATATTTCTTCCTTTTCCTCATACTCTTTCCTTCCCAAATACTGAAAAGGGGCTGATTGTTGATCTTGGGATAACTCAGACTGGATCAGACCTGTAAGGATTGCTGCAGGGAGGGCTGGGTCCAACATTGAGGAGCAGAGTAGCTGCATTCCCCAGAAAAAAACTCTTTAAAAATGTTGGCTGGGAACAGTTAATGGTGTTTTACAGTTCTGATCTGACCTACAAACCGTGCACAAAATCAGCACATTGCCTTTGGGCACATCCTTTGCTCTCTGAATGCAAATTTGCTGGGCAGAAGATTTGTTGCAGGATGATGGCCCGTGGCAGGGCTTACAGGGCTTGAAGGCCAAAGGTTTGGGAAATGGTGTCCTAAGGAAACCCTTGAGGAGCACAACCCCCTTGGTTACCATTTCTGGAGGTTCTGTGCTGCCTCTAGAAACTGCACAGAAACATCTCCAGAAGTTCAGGGCACCTCCCTGAGGTGCTGGGGTGGCTCCCCAGGTATCCCTGGGCTCTGCTCCAGCGCTGTCCCTGCTCCAGAAGCCTGTGGAGGTGCACCCTGATGGGCCACATCCAGCTCTTGTTCTCTGGAGCTCACTTGGCATCTGGGCCACATGTCAGCGCTGCCCCAGGGAGGACAAAGCTCGGTCAAGTTGGAGTTCTCACCACTGAGAAATGTTTAATTTCAAAAGCAATTTCCTTCCACCTAACAAGAAGTATTCCTTCTGGAGTGAGAATTCCCTCAGAACACTGGCTGGGGCTGAGCACTAACGAATTCCTCTTCTCTTTCTTTTTCCCTGCGTCTCCTGGAATCTCTAGCATCTCGTAAGTATAATCTTCAGTTTTTATTTCCTTGTCTGTTGGTGTCCTGGATAAACTCTCCTTTCCTCTCCTCTCCTGTCCATCGTATCCACTCATGCTTTCCCTGTGCCAGGGGCTGTCTCAGCTGGCAGGAGGTTAGGTGGCTACACCTGTAGGCCTACATGGATCACACCACAACCATCCCCATCTTCGAGGTGCAGACCCCAGTTGCTGGCACACTTTTATCCCTCTCAGTCCTGGTGTGCAGAGGGGCTGTGTCTGCAGCTCCCAGGTCCATTCTCTGTAGCAGGGATGGGGCTGCTCAGCCCTGGTCTTTGGGCCACGCTCTGATCTTTGCTTGTCCAGCCCCTGCCCTGGGGCGTGAGGGGCTGTGGTTTGGTGAGTGCTCTGCCCGGCCCTGCCCTGCACTCAGGGCTGTCCATCCCTGGGCAGCACAGTCTGTCTGTTGTCTGCTGGGAGCTTTCCTGTCTGTGTTCCGTGTCCTCTCCAGTTCAAAGCTGTGGAGTTGGTTAATGGCTTGAAATGGTTTCCCAGGGCGTTCAGGGGCTACGCAGAGAGGAAGAGACGGAAACGGGAGAATGATTCCGCAGCTGTTATCCAGAGGTAGGGCCCCTTCCCTCCCGGAGCTGTGACCCTGCCTGGTGTTGCATGGGCCCTTTGGGTGTCAGCAGTGAACCCTGATGGCATTGACTGTGTCCCTGTCTGTGTGCTGTCCATAGGGACACTGGCAGTGGCTGTGTAGGAACTGTGGAGGTGAAGAGCTGATCTCCATCTTCTTAAAGAACACTGTCAAGTGTCTTATAACATTCCAGATATAATATATGTGATCCGTGTCTCAGGCAGAAAAATTTAAAAAATTAAAGATGCAATTTCCCAGCCTTCTCCCAAATACTTGGAATTTTATGTCATTATAGAATGGTTTGGGTTGGAAGGGACCTTAAACATCATATACTTCCAGCTCCTCTGCCATGGGCAGGAATTTGGTTGAGGTTAGCTGAATACTTATATGTGCTGCTGCTGCATCTACCAATGCACCTCAAAAATCTGAGACTTAGGCAAAATTAACATCTCTAGTGACAAGAAGCGTTTTTTAATCTTTTTTTTTTTTTCAATAATAGGGAAAAAAGGGGGATGGGGACTGATTCCTTTTCCATGTATTACACAAAGGCCTGGTTTCCCTCTGCAGGCCTCCTATGGCACATCACTTACCCACAGTGGGAATCAGAACTGGTTTGTTTTTTTAAATGTGCCAAGGCTCATGTATTTTGGCAGCCTACTAAAAAGGGTAACACAGTGTTTGTGTCATTGCTTAAAAGCTGCCATGATGACTTCACTGCTCAAAACCAAGTGGGAGAAAAACATCAGGTTTTTTTATCTGGGAAATTGCCAGGCAGACTTTTTTTTTAGCAGCTTAAGGGTGGTGTGTTTTTTTTAAAGCAAGAATGAAGAGAAATAAAAATCAGTACTAAAGACGCTCTCAACAAATAGACAGTGGATCTTTAAAAAGAGGGAGATTTCTCAGAATCTGGAAGACAGAGGCAAGTCTTGGTGAGGAAGTGGCTTGTTCGTGTGGGCTGTGAGCACAGGAGCAGGAGCTGTGTGCCTTGGTGGTGCTGTGTGGTCAGGGGAGAGGATGGAGTCACCTCCTCCTTGTGTTGGGTGGCCAGGATGTGCACACTGAAGGTCCAGGCAGGGCTGCACAGCAGGAGCACATCTGTGTTTATCATGTCCCAAAGAGGAGGTAGGACAGCAGTGATGGGATGTTTGTTGGCTGTGCCATGTGCAAGCAGACCCTGGCCAGTTCCAATGACTGCTGGCAGTGTTCAGCTCCCTCCTCCAGGGAGTGAGGAAGACCCTGGCCCCACTTCACTTCTGGGTGCTTGTTGTGCAGCCTGTCGTGTCCTTGGGTGTTTTGGGGTTCAGTCGTTGTTGCCCAGCCCCTTCAGTCCTTGACCCTGGGAGGCTGGTTTGTGTGGCCTGGCACACAGGGATGGCTCTGGTGCGCAGGGAGGCTGGATTGCATGGCATGGCACCCAGGGATGCTGCCTTGGGACTCAGGGATGCCCAGAGTGAACCATGTGCCTGCTGCAGGAGCAGCCAGGGAGGGGAATGAGAGAGGTGCTGTCAGGAGTGTGGGTAGAGAAAAGGCTTCTCTGCACAGTGTGGTGACCCACTGTGGGCAGAGCTGCAGGGTGTGGAGTGAGGCTGTGGTGTCTTGGAGGCCCTCTGGCTGGGATGGAGACCCTGGAGGGATACCTGGGATGGAGACCCTGGAGGTGCCATGGGGTCTTGCCTGTCAGGCAAACTGGAGCCTGTCAGGAGGAGCACTGGTCAGAAAAGGGAGCAACAAGGAGATTTTGTCACTGAAACTTGAGGATTGCTGGTTGTGTTGTGATGGGTGAAGAGATCTTGCAAGTGATTAAGTGACACAGGGGTTTTTGGTGCAGTTGCAGGAGCCAGGCAGGAAGGCTGGGTGGGTTTATGGAGCCCCACTGCTCACAGAGCAGGTTACACCTTCCCCAGAGCCAGTCCTGCCATGCTGACATGCATGTACAGAGGGTCTGAGGACCCAGACAGCTGCAAAAAGCCCCCAGAAGGATCTGGGTGCCCACAGGATACCCACATTAGGAGTCAGTCCCAGGCTTGCACCTCCTTTCCAAAGTGCTGTTTTTTCTAGAAGAGATGAAAAGGAGCAAAAGTTCTTCATCTCATTCTCTGAGCATGTAGTGTGGTGGTTAACCCTGAGCAGCTGGACTCTCCCTGGAGCTGCTCTCAGCAGTATTTGGGTCTCTCATAGGAGAACCCAAGCTGTCTAGGCAGGTGGGAGCAGGGTTCTTCTGTGGCAAAGACTGCTTTACCCCTCTGCCCTCGGGGTCTGAAGAATCTCCTCTGTGGAGAGGACAGCTGAGCATTTAACAAAAAAGGGGATTTTACTCCAAAATACCAAAAACCCAAAGGATGTAACAGTGGCCTTGGCACTTAACATTGGTGCTCAGTGTCTGGTTTGATCTTGGGCTCACAGTGGACCACAAAGATTTTCATTCTGATGAGTTATAACATGTATCTAAGACTTTTTCTTTGTGTAAAGCGCAGCCCTGGTTCCCTTAAAATGTTGTATTTATTTGGATTTGAATCTAATGCACAGTAGGACAGACCCCATTGTCAGTCATGGTGCACCCCAGAAGGCTTTGTGTGTTGAGCCAGCTCAGCATGTGTCAGTGGATGTGTCTGAAGGGGCAGTTATCTGATCTACAGCAGTGAATCTTCGTGTACTCAATTACAGATATAATAAATCTTCAGAAAACATTAATAGCCCAAGTGCAGATGGAAATTTGGCATGAAATCACGTTGCTTCCAGCTGCTAGTTTTCCTTCTTGAGCTGCTGAATTTGGATCCTGATGACAACAAGGGATCCAGGAGCTAAGTGGGGAAGTGCAGAGGGTGATGTGGGTTAAGTGCTCTCCCACAAGGACTGTGTTTGTGTGGATCTCCCTGTACAGGAGCAGAGGTGTCCAAATTTCTCTGAACAACCTCACATTGGTGCTGGAAGTGTCTCCTGGTCCAATGCTAAAGCATCTGCATGGTTGTAACATGTCCCTACTCACCCCACTAACCTGTGTGTGAGCCAGACAACTTGACATTGACCCCTTTCACCAGCCATAGTCTCTGTTGCTTGGTGTCTGTGGTGTGTGTTGGGGTCAGAAGGGAATCCAGGAAGGCTCCCCCACTCCATGTAGGTTCCCTGACATCCTGGGGCTGCACTGCGGGGTGAAGTCACCCTGACTAAGTAGGGTTCATGGAGAGGTGACACTTCTCTTGACAGTCCACATGCTGCTCCTCCCTCTGTCTCTTCTGCTGTCCTGTTTGATTCCTGTCGTGTTCCTGCCTTGGTGAGTGATGAGAAACTAAAGCAAACAGGTCCCTTGCTCTCGGAGGGGCTGGACAAAGAATCCCTTTGCCAAGGCCTCTCAGGTGTGGCCAGGACACTCTGTTTTACACAGACCTGACTGTGGGTGTAGCTGCTCCCCAGGGATTACCCTCCATGGGTCTTCCCTGGAGCTCTGCAGCCCCTCTGGCCCTGCCTGTGAGTCCTGGGCAGGGCAGTGGGGGTGGCAGCTGCAGCAGAGAGCAGGTCCCTGGGGACAGCCAGCATGGCTCAGGGCTGCTGTCCAAGGAGGGACAGCCTGCTCCAGCCTTCCCCAGCTCTTGGCCCTGCAGAGCAGGATGGGCTGCATGGTTCCCAACAGCAGGGGTGGGATCTTAGCAGCTGCAGTGTTTGGGGATGAGCACAGCCACAAGCATGGTGTGTGCAGAACCTGGGCACTCCACGCTGCTGCTGAAGCAGGATAGAGGGGAGCAGGTGCTGCTCTTCACCAGGAAAAGAGGGAACATTCCCAGCAGGGGCAGTGGGTGTGCTCAGCAAGGTACAGCACAGCTGTGCCTCAGGCACAGGAGAGGGAGAGCCGGCTGAGAGCAGGGGGTGCCATGTAGGACCCCCCTTGCCCCGTGCCAGGGAGCTCAGAACAGTCCCACTCTTGGCAAACACAACATCCCCAGCGCTGGGTCGGTGCAGGCTGGGGACCTGATCTCCAGCTTTTGAAAGCCCAGAAGGAAGTATGCCATCATGCCCATTTTGGTTTTGTTCCTCCCATTTTTTCAGTCCTGCTGGGCCCAGGTGTTGCTTTGTGTCACCTTTCTCAAAGGTTGTGTTTGGCCTTTCTTTCAGGAATTTTCGGAAGCACCTCCGCATGGTGGGGAGCCGAAGGGTTAAAGCACAAAGTAAGTGAGCACCTGTGGGCTGTGGCTGTGAGGAGCTGGGGTTTGTGCTGGAGGGACATGGGGAGCTCTGTCACGTGCAGCTCTGGGTGGAAAGGACCTGGCACTGGCCTGGAGAGAGGATTTGACCTGCTGGTGCCATTTATCCTATAAAAAAGAAGGCCAGGTTGCTGCAAGTCTCCAGGACACGTGGATGTCTCCAAGCAGCCTGAAAGTTACTTCCAAGGACCCTCAGCCTTGGCTGTGGGAGATCTTTGGTGCAAGGAATGTAAGGAAAGCTGCAGCATCCTTGCCCTGTGTGTGGGTTTTGGTGGAGGCTTGTGAGGAGAACCCGAGCTGGGAGTTGAGCAGAGCTGGAAGCACTGCCTGGCCTCCCCTGCAGCTGTGACCAGCTGTGCCTCCTGGGGTGCTCAGTGCTCCCTGTGCCATGCAGGCTGCTGGCTGTCTCCTTCTCCCACTGCCATCTCCACAGCAGGATCTGGGGAAAGTTGCCTGCTGGGAGCTAAGAGGATGATGGAAGGGAGAAAGAAGAAAAACAGGGAAGAGAGTGGAGCAAGGGGGCAATAAGGGAGTGTTATGCCTCACTGGGGAAGAAATCCCCTCTTAGGCCTGGGAAATGGCAGTTCCCTTTCTCTGCAGAAGGCAACACTCCTTCATAACTTGGTTGGGGCAGTCGCTGTGACTTCATAACTTGTCGCTGTGAAGTGGGCTGAGAGTGGAGTAACCTGCTCCTGAGAGCTGAGGATTGCTCCAGAATGGAAAACAGCTTGTTCTTCCCACCCCCTGGCCAGGCATCGTGTACAGACTGCCCACAGCAAAGCACTGCTGAGTTCAATTTGCATTCTTTCCTCTCTCATATACTGTGAGAAGTGATCAGCAAAGAGCTTTGCCCTTTCCAAAGTCTTTGTTGGCATCTGAGTTAGCACTGCCTGACGTGGCCAGGGCTCACCTCCCCCAGAACTGTGGGGAAGCTCAGGCATGTCTCTGCCTCTGGAACTCTGGGGTCATGTTTTCAAAGCCTTCTTTGTGTGTACAATACCTCAGTGCCTGGTTTAAATGCAAACTGAGGATGGAGATCACCTGAAGAACTGAAGATGTGATTTCTCTCCCTGGACACCCACCCTGGACACACTGCAGGAGGGGACAGGTCACACCCACCCTGGACACACTGCAGGAGGGGACGGGTCGCTCCTCAGCTCTTGTGAATCAGACCTGCAGTGGATTCCTGTGCTGATGTTACTCGGTACCCTGCTGCAAACTCCCTGTCTGCCACCAGAAATAGGTATTAGTGGCTGTAAGTGCCTGTTAATCCCGGCATAATGGCTCTCACATGGGCTTGCCAAGTCAGACATGGTGGTTGGCACTTCCCAGGAATTTGCCTGCGGTGCAGCCAGCTGGGCCAAGCTCCCTGGATTCCAATTGGGAAATGCCAGCACAAACAATACAATACTCCTTGGGAAAAGAAAACAAACCAGAGGTAGTGCTCACAAGAGTGCAGGCAAGCAAAGGCTGAAGGATTTCCTCTTTTGCAATGAAAGTTAGAAGGCATGAGATTTCCAGAGACATTCCTGTCCTGCTGTTTGGTCCAGCTCCGATTGGGATGAAGGGATGAAGAACATGAAGGGAGAGCTGCCTGGAGAACTACTGCCTTCTTCTGGTCATACAGGTCATTAGCTGTGCAGTGCATCTTCCTGTGAGGCCTTGGAGTCCAAGCACTGGGACACTGGAATAGCTTTGTTAAATTGAGGTTTGAGCTGTGTGCATTTAAGGAGAGACCATCAAGTGTCATCCACTTTCTGTGTTACACACCCTGTCCTCTGCAGGGCACTTTATCTGTGCTGTGTAGAAGAGAGACCCGTGTTTGCTGTGTGGAAAGGACTCACGTTTGGCAAGTGGAAGGACAAGCCCAGGGGAGTCTGTGATGTGTGGCTTTGGTGGAAATCTACTGGCTGTTTTGTTTGGTGGTGGCAGCAGCAGAGGTGGCTTTGGGATCTGTTAATGTCCTGCTCTGGTTTTATCCTAGCCTTTGCCGAACGGCGTGAGAGGAGCTTCAGCAGGTCCTGGAGTGACCCGACTCCCATCAAAGCTGATTCCTTCCATGACTCTCGAGAAAGTGAGTTCTGAGTCCTTCCTCCTGTGGGCAAACCCTCCAGTGGAGGTGTTGACTGGAGTCCCACTGGAGTAACTCCTCTGTGCCGTTCTGTCCTGTCTGTGATCCTTTTAGTTTCCTGAGATCGGAGCACGTAACGCTCCAGGTGTTTGTACCTGTTCATCTGTGTGTCCCTCTATTCGTCTGTAGAGCACAACCCAACTAACCTCAGGTTATTAAACAGTTGCCAAAGGATAGTAGTGGTACAGCTCTCTTACAGCCCTCTGCTCCCATCATCCCTTATTTCCTTGGGACCCAAACAACCCACCTGGAAGCTCGCCAGTCCACGCCTACCTTCACCAGAGTGGGGCTGACTTGGCTTCCCATGCAGGAGCCCCTTCTGAGCTCTTCTCTAGGCTGGAATAGCTCCAGAACACAACTGAAGTGCTCTGTGAGATGGAGCTTTGATTTCCTGGCCGTGCTGCCTGCACAGGTCAGGCTTGATAGGTGATGATCTTCATTTGGACTGCCAGGAATTCCTCTGGGAATCCCCAGTATTTCTGCCACGTTCTGCTTGTGGGGACTGAGATGCTGTTGTGCTAATTTACAGGAGGAAATGCCAGCATCTTCCCACTGTATTCTTATAGAGGAAATGGCTGTTTTACAAAGATTTTATTGAAAGCCTGTAGGCAGGAACTCGGTGGTTATGAGTTTGCCCATGTTGAAATGGATTTCACTAATGAAATGACCTGACCTACCAGGTAAGCGTGAGATCTGGCCCTGCTAGCTGTAGGGGGAGGTGTGTGAAAGGCAGGCCAGGTTCAAAATGTGACCTGCTTGCTGCTTGTCAGTCTGATCCCTCCCTGCTCCCTCAGCTAACCAGAGGCACATGGAAAAGCCATGGTTCAGGCAGGCTCCAGGCACTGCCCAGCGACACTCGGTCGTCCCGACAGGCACAAAGAGAGGCATCTCGGTTCTCTTTCCTCAGTCCAGGAACCATCTCTATTTTTAACCTTTAATGGTCAATTATATTCCTTCCAGATGTTTTTTTCCCCAGGAGGCATTGAAGGCCAACAGGTAAGGTCAATTTGGAGAGCAAATTCAAGTCCACTGTTGCACTATGACTGTGTTTGCTGCAGCTGTCCTCACGCACGCTCTAAGAATTCTCAGGATCAGTCTCACCAACAAGGCAGATTTTTTTTACAATCCCTCAAAAGATGTAGTCAGAGCAGTAATTACTACAAGGAGACCAGCTTTGAAGTCTTTGGACTTTTGCTTATCAGCTTGGCAATGCTGAAGTGTAGAGAGCCTGTCTGTGTTCTGTCTCCTTCTCCATTTCTGGAATGATGGGGTGACTGTTGTGAAAGCTGAGCCTGGTGACTGTGAGGGTGATGAAGCTCTGTGATGTGTGGTGTGGAGCTCTTCGTGCACTCTCCATCCGTTCTGTGTCTGTCTTTTTGGAGACAACCAGCCCCAAAGTGTGGTGTCTGTCACTCTGGGGAAGGCAGGAGGGCACAAGTCTGGTGGCTTGTGGAGCCTCCTGCGAGGAAGCTGCCAGGATGGATGGGGAAGGCTGTTCTGCCCTGGTAATGCTCCCTGTGTCCTGGCAGGCCATGACCTTCAGGATTCCTGCGGCACTCTGGAGGGTGACTTCGACTTGAACTGGGAAGCAGAAAAGGAACTTGAAGCCATGGCATGTGACGGAGAAGACTTTATTCCACCAAAAATAATGGTGAGGGTTTCCAGCTCAGCTATCTGTATCTACTCAGGCTCTGTCTGTCCTTTCAGAGCTAAGTTTAGGGTCTCCATGGGAAGAGGCAAGTCTGTTACATAGGCAATGCCTCAGGTGTGTGTGAGGGTCACTCAGAGATCAGCCAAGACATGACACGGTGTTCAAACCTGTTATTGCTGGGGTTAATGTGTTGAAAGAAAACTAGAAGGAAGGACCTGTCATCCAAATCAGAGCAGGACTGACACCAACACAGAGTCAAGTCAGCCTGAGTCTATTTAACCCTGAAAATTGAGACCTGAGTCCCCAGTCCCAGCAGTCCCTCCCTCCTGTTGTTACTTGCCTGATTTACTTTAAAGCTGCATGTCATTCCTTGGGATGGTTTCTCTCTCTTACTATTCCTTGATTCCAGGCTTCCCCCTGTGCTCCCCTGCTCTGCTCTGTGGGGTTTGGCAGACAGGGCCAGGTTCTCACACATCCCTTCCTTGGCCACATGCACGAGGCAAAAAGGGGTCTGAGGCTTCCAGCCTGTTGTCAGGGCAGCACTGCCAGTCCAGCACAGCAGTGCTGGGTTTGGATGGGTCCTGCTGAGATCTGGGAAGGGTGAAGGACATGGAGACTGTGTGTGTTCCCAGGCTGTCTGTGCAGACTTGGCCCACCCTTGACACGCTGTCACCCTGGGCTGTGTGTGGTGGTTGTCCATCCCTGGATAGATATATGGAGTAGATTGTGCTGCTTCAGAAGTGTCCCATTAACTCCATGTGGCTGGAGCACAGATGTGCTGCCTGCTGGGATGGGGGGCTTGGACACCAGCCCCAGCTGGAAGCCAGGCTGCACTTCCCAGTCCACCAGCAGCACTGCCTGCTCTGCTCTCCCAGGGATGAATGGAGGTGCCTGGAATCACAGCACAGTTGGGGCTCTGGTGCTGCTGGAGCCACCTGAACCTTCAGCCAGAGTTGCCAGACACCTTCCTGATGCCTGTGGCCCTGAGCCTGATGCAGTGTCCCACCAGCTGCCAGCCAGCTGCCTTTTGAACACTCCCTGCACTCCCTACAGCCAGAAGGGAGGGATCCTTACTGGGATACAGCCATCCCTGGTGACACATCCTCTGTGCACACCAGCCTCCCCTTCCCAAACTGTTCTCTCTGCTGCCTGTGAGGCAGAGCTGTGTGCTCCTGTGTTGGGGGTCTAGGAGATGGTGACACAGGGGGTACTTGGCAGGCCTGGGATGCTCTGTGGTGGAGCAAAGGCTGGAATACCTTCCACAGGGATGCAGAGAGGCTGGATTGGCTGCCAGCTTAAGTGACACCTGAGAGCAGCTGAACACGGCACTGTTAGCATGGATTATGTGCTTCTGTCCACACTGTACTGCCTTCTCCTCATGCTGTTGCACCTTTTTTTTATCTCTTCCAGCTCATTTCTTCCAAGGTGCCCAAAGCAGAGTATGTCCCAACCATTATCCGCAGGGACGACCCCTCCATCATCCCCATCCTCTATGTAAGTAAATCCCTTCTGCTGTGGCTGGGAACAGGCTTCATACTGGGAATTCTTTATTTCCCTGGTTCCTGTTATGGTCTCTCCAAAGCACTGGTGTGATTTGGAAGAGCTGCCAGGGAGGGGCTGGGGCTGTGCTGAACCCAGCTTTGGGGTCTGGGGTGGCTTTGTGGGGGCTCAGGTCTGGGCAGAACAGGAAGGTGGAGTGAAAATGGCACATGGGAGTTGTTGGGCTCTTCAGGCCAAGCTGCATGGGGAGATTATCAAGGAAAGGCAGGGCAGGCTGGATCACAGGCAGAGCTCTGCATTGTCAGGCTTAGGGCTGCTCCTTATGCTCATCCTTGGGATGAGCAGGACCTCGGAGCTCAGCAGTGAACACAAACCCCATCACCCCACAAGCTGTGGTGCAGCCCTGCCAGTCACTAATTTAACTCTGATTTTTCTCTGGGAATCTGGCCTGAGCAGGGGTCTGAAACAGCAACAAGGAGTCATGGGTCTCTTTTTCCTAATGATTTATTCACTTAATTTGGGAGTGACAGCCCAGAGAGCCCTGTGTGCAGCAGGCAGTGCTGCTGGGGGCTCAGCCTTGCTGCCTCCCTCCCTTGGGGAGTTGTGCAGTTGTCCTGATGATCCTGCTGTGCCAGAGGCACTGTGTTGGGAGTGCAGCTGTTTGTCAGCCAGCTTGGGCATGGGGAAAACTGGCTGTAAAATGTGGGCCAAGAGGCAAATAGGCCTTGCTGGTGCTGAGTGCATCTGATGGACAGTCTGTGCTTTGGATGTGTCTGCAGCCTTCATCTCCAGGCCTTTGGGTGGATTTGGTCTTCATGGGCAGTTGAGCCTTCAGCTTCTGTGCTGAAATGTGATTTAGGTGGTGATTGCTGTGCTGTCACTACCAGCCTTCAGTTGGTGTAACTGTGCTCTTAGAGCATCTGTTGGCCTGGGAATGGGATTGTGTGCAATATTAGAGACCATAATGCTGTCATGGGAGCTGGTGTAGTGACAGTGAACCTTTGTCTGTCCTCTGTCTTGGTTTCCAGGACCATGAACATGCCACCTTTGATGACATCTTAGGTACGTGAGTGTTATTTCCTTTTCTTGCTTCCTGCCCATTGCGAATGTAACCCATCAATGTGTCAGTCACTCAGCTGCCCTGTGCCTCAGCTGCCACTCATAAAGGTGTTTTTGCCACCTCAGTGACACATGACAGACAGTCAGCTGCTCTTGGATGTGCTGCTGTAACAAACCTTCACTTCTGTGGCTTGTTTTCTATGCCAAACTCCTGGTTTGTGAAGGGAAGCTGAGGCACAGGGCAGCAGGTACCTGTTCATTGCACCTGTGTGGTGGGTGGGAGCATGGGCAGGGTCAGGAGGGCTGGTTCTGCTCCAGTGCCATGGTCAGAGCAGTGCCTGGTGCTGCACCATCCCTCCTCTGCCCTGTGACACGCTGGGATTCCTGCTTCCCACAGCATCCCTGGCATGTAGGTGCTGAGCAGCTCTCTGAGCTCAGCCTCCTGCCTGCAGGACTGAAGTGGAAAGAAATAAGATTGATTTTTAACCTCCTCCATGGTTCGTATTTTCCAACATGTTTGGGGTTTCTTTACAGAGGAAATAGAGAAGAAACTTAACATTTATCGCAAAGGCTGCAAAATCTGGAAGATGCTGATATTTTGCCAGGTATGTGAGAGTTTTTAAGTGCTTGGGAGATTTCTTACAAATTTGTCTTTTTCTACAGGGAGAATGACATAAAGGAAGCAATATTCCAAAGTCAGGTTCTCTTGAAGTAACTACCAGTGCACAGCTTTCACTTCCCATTTCCCAGACACTGAGCAGGCTGGAGTTGCTGTGACAGCAGGAACTCAAACCTGATTTAGTGAGGCCAGGTCAAGAGCTGGGCTGGTTCTCAGCTGCTCTCGAGGAACCCCAGGCAAACCAGCATCAGCACAGACCTCGAAAGGGGATTCCAGAGACAGGAACAAGCATTTGCAGTGTCATGGTTATGGTTTCCATCCAGTTTCAGTGTGACAGTGACAGTGGTGCAAGCTGTGGATCAGACTGGCAGATGGCTCAGCTGGGAGCTGGAGGCCAGTGGAGGCAGGAGAGGGGTCAGGGTACAGGCTGGAGCTGTGGCTTGGACAGGTTCAAGCCCTGCTGCATCTGTGGCTTGCTGGGGATTTCCTTCCCAAGTCTCCTGTTCCTCAGGGTGGTCAGCTTTGGACTTCCCCAGCAGCTGTGCAAGGAACCTGGACATGAGAAATGAGGAAGGGAACCTGATTGAACTCCCTCCCGTGTCCCCTGTGCTGCAGCGTGGCAGGTTTGCTGCACACTGACCTAGAGATTGTGGCTTTTAATGTTCCTGGTGTTGTGCTCAATCTGTTTATGCCTTTTGCTGCCCAAGGCCAGTTCCTCTGCAGTCCCATCCCTTTCTTGTTTATCCCTGCTGTGCTCAGCTTCTCCTCTGCCCACCACGGCAAGTCCCCCAGTGACAGGGGATGTCCCTTGTCCCCAAATGACACGGACTTTCTTGTCTTCCCTATTACTCTCCAGTGACTCACAGTGACGATTTTTGTCTATTATTGTGCCTTTCTAGAGCGAGGTGGGCACAGAACAGTAAAAACTGGAGAATCCAACCCCCACACACTCCCCATACGTGGATGTGTCCTGAGCCGGTGCCTGCTGCGGAGGGTTCCCAGCGTGGCTGCCCTGCTCCCTTGTGGCAGTTCTGGGAATGGCTGGGCAGGACAGGAAATGCATCCAGGATTTTTATCCCCGGGGCCTGTGCAAAGAGGTTTCCATGTGTCTGTGTCTCTCTTGCAGGGAGGTCCCGGGCACTTATACTTGTTAAAGAACAAAGTCGCCACTTTCGCCAAAGTGGAGAAGGAGGAAGATCTGATCCTGTGAGTGGCTCTGTTGTGTTCTGGGCTTGCATGGAGTTTTCCTGCTGGGTTTGCTCAATGTTTGCAGCACATGGCCAAGCAGGAGAGGTGAAGGGAGCTGGGGTGGGTTATTCAGGGGATGAGGAGGCTGAGGAGGGGCTGTCAGCAGATTGAAGCTCATTCAGGGGGAGATGCAAAGGTGACAGAGCTGAGCTCGTCCCTGGGGTGCTGGAGCCCTGGTCACCAGGAGATTTGTGCTTCTATTTGCTATTTAGTGTCCCTCTGGACTAGAGACTATCAAAAGATTAAAAAAAAAGGTATTTCCTCTCCTAACAAAGGCTGTGCTGACCAGAAACCAGAATGTGCCCCTCGAGCCTCTGGTGCTCAGCTGTGGCTGCAGTAGCATTGCTGAGCAGACACCAGTGGCAGAAATCCAGAGTGTTCCCCCACAGTTGTCTCTGGTCAGGGGGAAGTGGAATTTGTCTCTGCAAAGCCTGCTCAAAGTCCAGCCTGTTACTGAGGAGGCTTTTCACTAACATGCCAGCCTGTCAGCTGGGGTTGCTGAGGCAATTTTGCTTCTCCTTGTAGAGTTAAGCTTTGCCTGTTTTGCTGCCTACTCACTTTTGCTGGCTCAGACTTCCTTGGCTAATGGTGCTTGGCTGTGGGGGAGAGGATGTTACACCAACCTGTTCCTACACAACTTTTTGTTGGCGAGAGAACTGAGTATTAAAATCAACATCTGCTCAGCAATCCCATGCTCTGGCACAAACACTGGCTGTAAAATCTTTGAGCACTTGTGCACACGATTCTGAACACGTTCCAGGCATCATAACTGCTCCCAAGCTGATAAATCAGGGATCTTCAGAAAGCTGTGAACACACAGCTGAAAATTTGGAAGCTTGGCAGTGAATGTCTCCATGCAGCTTGTGTGTTCCTCGGGAGGCTGTCCTGAGGAAACCTGAGGCTGCAGGCTGGTTGGAAAGCCCATGGAGGAACTGCTGGGCTTTAGAGCCCACCCCAGCTCCAACCCTCTGCCCAGGGTTGTGTTTCACATCCCACGAGGTTCCTGGTCACAGTCACAACACCTAAACTGGGTCTGACTGTGACCAGCACCAAGCACAGGCTGACATGGAACAGCCTGGTTTGGTGTTGCCTCTGTAGCTGTGGAGAACAACAACTTCTCCAGCTGTTCCCTGCTGATTTCCTGCCCTGGAAATGAACCAGTGCACTGAGAACATGGGTGATTAGAAAGGGCAGTTGTTGATAGAAATGGAAGAGAGGAAACTGGAGGGGATGCTTAGTAAAACTGTCACTCTAAAAGCACTCCTGGTGGACTTTGCTCCCTTCTCTTCATCTTAGAGCTTCCTTGGCTCAGTGGGCTGCTCCTCCTTCTCAGGCACATGACTTGGACCTGCTCCTCAGGCCCTTGCTCTGCCACTGCTCTTCCTTGTCTAAGATCCAATGGCTTTTCCTGAACACCCTTCTGAGTGGTGTGTGCACACATCCTTGGGATAAATCATGCCTGTGAGGAGAGATACTTTATATTTTAATTGTGTGTTCTGTTTTTTTCTGTTTTTTTCCAGCTTCTGGAAGAGGTTGAGCCGGCTGATGAGTAAAATCAATCCTGAACCAAATATCATCCACATCATGGGCTGCTATGTTCTTGGAAACCCCAATGGGGAGAAGGTAGGAGCTTCTGGATCAATTCTGGGTCCCCAGGAGTCATCCCTGTTTTCAGCTGCTAACTTTGATATATTTTCCTTTCAGCTATTTCAGAATCTGAAAAACTTAATGAATCCTTATAGGGTTGCCTTTGAGTCTCCACTTGAACTATCAGCTCAAGGTAATTTATTTTCTTTACAAAGACACACACCTTCCTAACCAGCCTGCCTCCCTCAGTGGGGCATCTTCCTGAAAAAGCAGGAAGTCCTGCCATGGTCTTTGTTTTCCTGGGTTTCCCCTCTCAGTTCCTCCATGTTCACACTTCATCTGTCCTGTGCCTGAGGCTGCAGAGCCCTGTCCCAGGCCACTGGCAGTGCAAAGTAGGCAGCTTTCCAAGCTGAGTGTAGGAGATCTGTCAATGCTAGGACATGAGGAATCTGTGGGAGAAATGCACATGGAGCAGAACCTTTTCTGTAGCCAGGTTCTCCAGGGCTCAAACCACTGGCACTGAAAGGGTTGTGTCATCAACAGGCAACTGGGATATGACCCATTAGAGCCATTCTACAGCTCAGTCTCTTGGCTTTTTTTCCCTTTTCTGCCTGTAGCTCAAGATGTTTCAAGGGGCTACAGGATTTGTCCTATTCTCTGCTCAGTGTCAGTAATTGGTGAGGTTTTACAAGCAGCAGATTCTGAATTTGCCCTTGTTTTTTATGTTTGCTGTATTCCTTGGCCCTTTGTTCTCTTGGCAAATAAAACCATGCAGCATCAGGCTGTGGGTGCTTCCTCAGCTGCTCCCAGCTGGCCTCAGCACTGCTGGGTTATTCTTAACTCCCCTCTCCCTCAGGAATGTGCAGGAGTTGAGCACATTGGTGCTGCACAGAGTTCATGGAATCACAGAGTCCCAGACTGGTTTGTGTTGGAAGAGACCTTAAAGCTCATCCAGTTCCAAGCCCTGCCATGGGCAGGGACACTTTCTACTAAACCAGATTCTCAGTTCTCTGTGTGTGTCCTGCCAGGGTCTGGAGCAGCTGTACCCGCTGCCTGCAGAGATCCCACGGTGAACATGCTTGGACATGTGTCCAAGAGAAGCTTGCAGGGAAATTCCCAGGTTTGTGGGCAGCTCAGCAGGCAGGCAGTGGGCTCTGTGTGCAGGCACTGAGCAGTTGGCATCTTCCAGGAGGCTGGGCTGAAGAACAGGTCTGAATTTATCCCCTTGGTCAGTCTGGGACGCAGTAATGCTGTACCCTCTTAATCCTTTGCAAAGTCATCTAAAACTAATCTTAATCAGGCCTCACAAGCGAAAATCCCCTCCTTAAGCCCTGTCTGAGTGCAGGGTTGTTTGCCCTTGTGTTTTCCAATGCACCCACTGCCTCCTGGGCCCAGCCTTTGCTCTGTGACTGCCTGTGAGACCCCCCCTTTGATCAGAGGGGCTCAGAGCTGGCACTGCTGTGTCCTGTGAGCTCATTGCTGGGAGCAGAGGCAGCCCTGCAGCACAGAGATGGCCTAGTAATTTAAAAAAAAAGGTATATTTTTGTTTGAATTTTCAATGTTAATTATTTTTAGTGTTTCCCACAAGTTTTCACAGTGAGTTAACTCTTGGTTTGTAGTTCCTGAAGTCCCTGTGCCTCTCTGAGGCTCTTGGCTGATCCTCCCCAGCCCCTGGCCCCAGCTCAGCACTCAGAGCAGAGAGGTCAAAGTCTGGAGACAGACTTTGTGCTCAGTTCCTTCCCCCATGGACAAACTCTGCCAGGGGATTACAAGGAGCCATTCATGGTTGAGGAGATCTAAAAAGATGTTTGGTTCTCACGGGCACCTCCACGTGCCCCGGGGCAGGTGCCCAACGCCAGTGTTCCCCCAGGGAAGTGTCTGGATGGGTTCCTGTGCCCTGCCCACAAAAAAAACCTGCTGGGGTTTTTGTGGTGCTGTGGCCTCTCACCCGTGTCCCTTGTGCTGCAGGGTGTGACCCCTCTGCTCCATTTCACTTCTAGGTAAGCAAATGATCGAGACTTACTTTGACTTCCGCCTTTACCGCCTCTGGAAGACCCGCCAGCACTCGAAACTATTGGATTACGATGACATTTTATGAGCTGGAGACGACTTTGCAAGAGGAAGCTCATCACCAGTGTCCAAGAAGTCATGCTTATTGCAGAGAGACTTTTTTATTGGCACAGGGAGCCCTTCAGAGCCCCATGGGAGCAGCAGTGCTAAAGGCAGGGGAGGAGGAGCCCTCGGGAGCGTGTCCAAGGAAAGTCTCCTGGGTCAAGAGAGACTGGAGGGAAAGGGGGTGACCCTGGCTGGCCCCAGTCCGAGCCGTGGGGTCTCAGGAGGAGCTGTGTGCAACGAGGACAGGATGGAGTTCCTGGCAGAACTGAGCTGTTTTGGGTCAGAATGGGCCAGATTTGATTCCAGGTCCTTTTAAAGACTTTTGAAGCTCAGGTTTTCTTACAAAAAAAAAAAAATAAACCCAGTTACCCATGCACTACGATGGAGAAGTCACCAGAGCACAGAGGGAGGAGGGGGTTGTACTGCTGGGACCTTCTGTGCTGAGGATCTCGGAGAGCAAGGACTGCTACACCTACTCCTGCAAGCTTAGAGCAAGACAACCCAGTTTCCATGTGAATATGTACTGGGATATAGAATTGAAATCTTCTTTTTTTGTTTTGTTTTGTTTAATAGAAAATAAGTGCAATTTTTATAGCAAAGGGTGGGGGTAAAAATCCCTCCCAATATTTAATTAGTTAAAAATAACACACCATAACCAATAGATGAGGTATTTCTGGTCTGCTTGAAAATATATTCAGATTGGTAATATATCTTCTGTAGACATATTTAATCACCAGCAAACATGGTTTTAACATAACTTGGCAGACCCTGCATGTCTGCTGCATTGGTTTGGTTCCTTCCTTTCAGAGTAGCTGTGTTGCACTAACTGTACCTGCTCTCACGAATGTATAGTTCTCCTCCAATTAGCCACAAACTTTATTACTTTCTATTTTGCTGCTTGCAAAACTATGGGACTTTAGTTTTGCTGAAATACTTTAGGTTAGGAATATGGGGCCTGGCTGGGGAAACCTCTGTCGGGCCCTCTGTGGTATAAAAATGAATTAGAAATTAATAGCCATGGTAATTACCTGTTCATGCCAGTGCTTTGCTGTGTGCTGGGAGATGAGCTCCCTTCCTGACCTGCCACGAGGAGCAGCTGTTGGGACCCCTCTGAGGGGACTGTGCACTGAGGCATTTGGGAGAAATGCTTCTGGAGGAACAGGTTTGGAGCATGAGTTTGAATCTTCCCTGTGTTCACTTGATTGCCAGTTGTTTGTGCATAAAACACCCCTTTTTCCTTGCTAACAGACCTGTTTCTTGGTCTGAGCTGTTCCCTTCCCTTCCTGAGCAGGACAGAGAAAACCCCAAGCTCTGTCAGACCTGAGAACCCAGGTCTTGATATTTGATGATACATTCTGGAATCTGTTTACTTTTTGTTTGGTCAGGTCGAGGGGTGCTTTTTGTTTTGGGAAGGGCTTTTTTTCACATTTTACTGTCCTTTCAGAGGATAAACAGTACTTAGAGTCTGTAGGTCACTGGCAATTCTGGGAGGTGACACAAATTACTTCTTTTACAAGCAAAAGAAGTAACAGGGAAGGATTACCTTGTTTTCCTGATTTCCTGTTATCTAAAATTAGTTGATTGTGAAGTGAAGGAAAATATATGTATAAATCTTCTTTTAACTACTTACAAAAAGAACTACTTGTTCTGATCTGTAGAGTCCTCCTCCCCCTGTGGTTGTGATTTTGGGGAGCAGGTCCCTGGCTAGAACTGCTGAACCCTTTACATTTATGGCAGTTTTATAGCAAAACTATTTTGAAGAAATAATGTACATACACGTAAGGAGAGGAATAAATGGAGAGGGATGGTTTAAAGTTGTTGAAAGCCACATACTGAACCAAACAGGTGTGGGCTGTTGCCTCCCCCTGGTTGGGAGCTCTTGGGAGCTGCCCTGACCTCAGGAGCTTTGGGAGCCACATCTCATCCCTGGACTCAGGTTTGCCAGACCTGCAGTGAAGGGGAGAACAGGCACCAGTCTGTAGCTTTTGGAAGGAAATGCCAGATGTAAAAAAAAAAAAGAACCCCAAATTTATGCCAATTACTATTTAATGTTGTGGCTCCCACCAGCTCTGAGGTGAGAGGTGGGAGCCAGAGGTGCAATGGAAGCACAAAGTTATCTGGAGAAGGAAATGGCTGTGGGAGGATTAAAATGCTGACACAAAACTCTCTCCCTTTCTGACCCTTTCACCTCCTAACTGGAGACAGACAAACTGTTCTTCCTTTCTCTTTCCTGAAGTGAAATCCCAATTCAGTGAACTTGGTAGCATGAATGTAGCATTGTGGAACTATTGAAAATCTTATTTAACCCCTAAAGGGCCCGTTTCTGTATCCACTGGAGTGATTTCTCTGTAGAACTGTTGTGTATCCTCACTGAGCACTTGTAGAACTTGGGGTGCAAAGTAGAAGGTAGATTGTACAGTGACTCCTGTAGGAAGATGTGTGTTGGAATGGACACTGTGGACTGTTTTCCTGGTGCAGTTAATAGGATAATGAGAACTGATGAATGCATTTCTCTCCAAAGATCTATATTCCTTATAGTTTGTGATGTTTATGACAAGAGCATATTATTTCCTTTGTAGCCTTCGTTTGCCTAAAGGGAGGAAATATTCTCAGAGCTGTGACTGGAACAGAGTTGTGATGTTTGATGTCCTGTGTGGAGCAGCATCGTTGGAATTAACCATTGGTGACAGAGGAAAACACATTTCTTGCCCTTTTTCACCAGTTGAGCTTTTCAAGTGGCTGCTGGGAAAGGAAGGGGTCAGCAGAGGAAAATAAAAATTGTCATTATTTAAACTGTAGAGGTAAAAATAGAGCCTGGAACTTCCTCAGTGGGACCAACCTGTAAAGAATGATGAGCTATGGATGTGCTCGCTGCCAGCGCCCGGCACAGCCCCAGCCAGGACATCTCTGAGGCCCAGCACTGCTTCCCTGTGTGCTCCTGCAGCATCTCCCTGGGGATGCCAGGGCCAGGGCAGTGCCCACAGGCACAGCTCCCCGTGCATCCCTGCATTATCTCCCCTGGGAATGCCAGGGCAGCACCTGTGGGCACAGCTCCATGGGCACTGCTGCAGTATCTCCCCTGGGATGCCAAGGCCAGGGCACAGCTCCCCGCAGTGCCTGCCTGGGGCAGCTGTGGCTGCCGGGCACACAGGACAATTTGTCATCATTCCACTTCCACCAGCTCCTCCCAGCCCTCAACAGCTCATCCTGCTCTCGGGGTGTGTCTGAAACCAGTCCTCTCACGTGCCCTCAGTGATTGCTGTGAGCTGTGGCTTGGTCCTGCCCCTGTGCTCCGTCAGGGCATCCACCGCCCTGTCCCACTGTTACACTCAATCCCTCCCCGAGGAACTGCTGCTGCAGCTCCTGTGTGCTCTGGAATTGCATTTCCCAGGGGCAGCAGAGCCCTGGTTAGCCCTGGAGGGAGGCAGATGGACCCGGGATGGCTGAATTGGGTGCCAGCCCTGGCTGTTCCCCAGCCAAGGGTGGGGGTTTGTGCTGCCCTTGCTGTGAGGCAGAATTGGCTGTGACCTCCAGCCCCTTGTGTGGATAAATGTGTTATGGCCTGGGCTGGCAGTGTCACCTCCAGGAGGGGAGAAGGGTGACAGGAGGGGCATCAGCCTGGCTCACCTGCTGGGGGTGGCCCCACCATGTCCTCTGGTGCCTGCAGGGAAATGTTCACTGAGCTGTAAAGGCCTGGGGAGATCATTGTCTTCTTGGATGTGGCACTTGTCCTGTACAGGGGTTTTCAGAGCGTCTTTACCCTTTTCCTCTTGTTTTGCTGGGAAGGAAAGGGGAGAAGAAAATTCAAGTTACCTGAGGGATATAGGAACAGGTAGAAAACTGAGATAAAGCTTTTTTTACCTCTCCTTGTGCTGCAGCCACCAGCTTCCCTTTGCAGCTGACCTCCAGGCCTGGGGTGGGAAATAGATGAACTCCCAAATAATCCCATCCTGTGTTGAAAAAAAAACCAAAAACAAACAGAAAAGTCCTTGTAGCTCCAGCAAAACATCTGACTGCAAAAGGCCCCCAGGCAGCTCATCCTGCCCCTGTGAGGACTCTGCTCTGTGCATCCCTGGGATCCCACCCCGTCCTGCCTCCGAGTGCCTCTGGAGCCACCTGAGCCATGTCCCACAGCCTGAGGAGGGGCTCTGCTGATCCTCTGCACAGGAGACCCCCAGAAGGAATTTGTTCTTCATTTCTCAGCCTGCACTTGTTGCCTGGAGCTCAGCACAGGGTTCCTGCTCCAGGGGCTTCTGGAGTGTGTGTGTGTGTGTGTTCCTCCCTCACACACAGGCCCTGTCCCTGGTCAGGGGAGCTGCTCCCCTCCATTGCCATGTGCAGTGAGAGGCAGTGACGTGTCCCTGCTGCCCTGGCACCACTCCAGAGCCTGGCACACACCCACCCACAAAGAGCTGCTGCTGTTCCGGGCCGTGGCTGCGCTGGTGACCCGTCCCTGGGAGTTCCTGTTCCCAGGCTCTGCTGGCAGGGACTGCAGGGCTGCCTTGGCACCTTCACACAGCATGAGTGGGGTCAGCTGAAAGGATGGAAAGGGCTGGTTCTAAACGCCAGCCTGGCAGGATCTGGAGATGGGAATGTGCCCTTAATCCCGGCCCCATCCTTAATCCCCCTGGAGGTGGAATGGCAAACTTGGTGTAAGTGTAAACATCCAGCCCATCACAACCCAGTTTGAGTCACACCTGTGTATTATTTGTGTGTTAGTTCAGGATAAGATATGTTACTGTATGAGGAAAAAAGATCCTTCTGGGGGTCTTGGCAGTTGGCACCTGCTGTCAGAACCCTCCATCAGGGGATGAGCTGGGCTGTGTCATCCTTTGGGGGATCAGGCCCCACTGCCAACACCAGGACAGGGATCTGCAGCTGCAGGTAAAGCTGAGTCTCTCTGTGCCCCTGGTTTGCTGTGCCAGTCCCTGGAGCTGGTGATACAGACAGCCCTTCCCGAGGATGCCAATACCCTCCTGAGGGATGTGGAGTGGCAATGTCATCTTCCACGTCATCTGTAAAGAGCTGTTTGTGATCCTGTGTTTTGTCCCACTGACCACAGCGGATCTGTGGCTTTCTGCATCTTCCATGGAAGTGCTTTTTAATTCTCATTGTGGAAACACAAGCCAAAGGCAACTGGAAACTTCTATGGGCGAGTCAGCCTGCTAATGGTATCATATATGGGAGCTGAGTGAGCAAATGGGTGGTTTAATGGCCATGAACCTGACTGGGGTCATCATTACTCCCAGGTGATCCTGCTGTGTAATTGGCAGAGTTAACAGTAAGATAACCTCTTACTGAGGCAGTGCATGATCTGTGAAAGAGCAGGAACCAGCAGCAGCTTTGGTTCAGAAATAACTTCAGCCCAACCCACTGCCAGTCAGTGTGAGAAATGTAAAGACTAGAAGGAATAAACATTATGGACATTAAATGTAAAGAATCCATCTAAAGAGAAACCACATTGCTGCTTTCCATAGATGTTTGGTAAATATTAAAGAACTAATACAACCTAAACATTCTTCACAGTATTGTATTGCTTTTGGAGTATCCTTAGAAGTGACATAGGTAAGGACAGATAAGACCCATCACAAGTTGCCCTACATTCCCAGAGTGGGGACAATAACTCAGTTAACTTGGGCATTCCAATCTTCCTTCCTTATCTCAGCATCCCAGTGAACTGGTGATTAGTCACAGCAGCAGTGGCCCATAAACCTTTACAGGAGGGGCCTCTCCACCTGCACTGCTGAGCAGAGAGAGAGAGAGAGAGAGAGAGAGACCCCCAAGCATCTGATGGAGCCCAATGTTGGCCCTGTGGCCCCAAGTGTTGGTCCTTTGTCCCCAAGTGTTGGCCCTGTGTCCTGGGGTGTCCCCTCCTGTGCTTCACCCAGTCCATACAGCCACACCCTCGGGCACAGCCCCTGCCCTGCTCCCCCCTGTCCTGGGGGGGGTGTGTGTGGCCAGGTGGAGTTTTCCTCCCTGGTCACTCAGGGATGAGTTGAGTTGTACCTGGGAACGTTCCTCACCTGGGGACACTGAGCTGTGGGGGCTGCAGGGGCTGTGACAGCCAGGGACTGGGCACTGCCACCATCCCCCTGCTCTCTGGCTCGGGGTCAGCTCAGATGCACATTAGGGGGTTCAAAAAGCTTCAACAGAAAGTGTGGGGTTATGAGAAAATTTTTTTCTAATTTATATTTTTAGTGCTAAATCTCTGTTGCAGTGATATAGAGCTACAAGGTGCTCTTAAGGTGGAGCTGGTGCAGAGCTGGGAATTCAAGGACAGGGATCTTTGCCCTGACATTTGAAATGCCCTAAAAACCTGGCAAATAAGCACAGCCAAGCGAGACCCCTGAGCACAGATCCTGCTCCCTGTGCCCCTGTGCTGAGACCTGACTGTGCTGGGTCTTCAGGCTGTGCTGGGTCGGAACCGAGCTAGTTTGGTGTTCCCCACCCAGGGAACCAGGCTGGAGTCGTACCCAAATGAGCTGAAGGGGCTGTGCTTTTTCTGCTGTGTATTTCCTGTTGTTCTTTAACAGCACTATTCCTGGAACTGGGCTGTGATACCAAGCAACAACAACCTGAGCTGTCACAGGGCTGGGAGTCAGTGCCCTTTGGGATCTTTACTGTTTCCCAGCAGAGTTCAGGCATATTTTCATTTCCAGCTCCTTTACTCAGCTGCAGCCCCTCCCTTTGCTTCTGCAGAGCTGTGAGTGAGGGGCATCAGCAGCTTTCTGAAAAGAAAACAAAAGCCTGAGTAGCAGGCTTTGGACATGGGCCTGGTAATGTGGAGAAGGACAGGTTATGTCCAGCAATGCCCCTAAATCCTGAGATGTTAATGAGAAAAAAAAAAAAGCAGCAACATTATCAAAATAATGAGGGGGAATTCCAAATCACTGAAGTGTGATCGATCAGCTGACAAACCTTGTGAAGATAAAACACTCTGCTGACTGTGCCTCTGCTCTCAGCTGTGTTCAGAGGGAGGTGACAGTGTCCCACTCCTTTCAGAGATCAGACTCGAGGCCAGGGCAGTGTGGCTGAGTCCGTCTGTGCTGCTCCAGCCAGGCTGAGTCTGCACTGCCCACGTGTGTCCGACCACTCGGGCCCCTCTTTGCCCATCCCATCTCAATGGGAAGCTGAAGGCACAGCAGGTGCATAAGGAGCTGGAAATGTTGGCCCCAAGAGAGCCCCAGGGTCAGAGAGCTCAACCTGAGACAGGCCAGTTTGGGGCCAAAACATGAGAGTTTTGAAAGTAAAGACTGTAAGCTCTGAGATCTTGGTGGGCCCTGGAGCAGCTCCTTGGAAAAGTGAGAAGGAAGTTACCCCAGCACTCTCCCCAGCTTTCAAGGTGGTTCCTGGCTGCTGCTGCCCAGGGAGGAGCTCTGCCATCTCCTCTGCCTCTGTTACCGGGTCCTTCTGAGGCTCTGCTGCTTCATGTGTGACAACCAGGCCTTGAGTCCATGAATGTTTCTGGGGTTAAAGATGTGATTTAATAAAAATAGATGTTTCTGGGAAAGCAGGTTTTTTTTCTCTTGTTCGTTTTTTTGTTGTTGTTGTTGTTCTCTGGCTGAGTTTATAAACCCAGGAAATGGCACTTGGCAGATGTTGTGTGAGGGAAATGGTGTGTGATGAACCTGTGATGCAGATGAGGGACATAACAGGCACCAGGCACCTCTGAATGGCAGCAGGGAAATGATGAACAAAGCTCCAGAGGGGCAAGAGGCCCAGATGCAGCTAGAAGAGGAGGAAAGTAAAAAATCCTGATGCCATCTGAGGACCACAAATCCAGTGACGGGGATAGTACAAGGATAGCACAGAGTGATTCAGGTTCTGAGAGTATCTAAGGCTTAGTGAGCATGGACTGGGGTGCTAAGGAACTTAAAGTGCATTAGGGATTGTGCCTCTTCCTGGGAGGAAGGCTAATCCTTGAGCACCCTCCTGGACACAGAAACAGCCCTGGGGAAATTCACGCAAGGCCAAAGGCCTGGTAATCCCTCTGGGGAAAACAGAGCGGCTCCAAAATACAGCACATCCCAGGAGGGCAGAAGGCAATGGATTCTGACAAGCCACTTCCTCTCTCAGGGGCCTGTTTGACTGAATTGCCAGAGGGAACAGCTCTGGCTTGATCTCCCAGCTGCAATTTTCCCCCTATCTCTAATGCTGACAGTCACCTGCGTGTTCATGTTCTGGTAAATGTGGTAACTGCAGCCCCTCAGAGCAGAGGCAGAGAGAAACAGGCTGGACAGCTCTGTCATTTGAGGCATTTTCCTTCAGCCCTGGGATCTCTCAGCCTCCATTCCTCAATCCTCATTCCCTATGTGGGGACATTCTCCCAGTGCCACAGCCACAGCAGGGTGGGACATGCCAAGTGTGTGACATCTCAGCAGTGTGACAGATGACAGAAATCACTTTTAGTGCCGTATCACCCACTGGCCAGCCTGGCCTGGCCTGGCCACTGCTCTGCCTTTTGGCATCGCTGGTGCCCGGAGTACCCGGTGGCCAGAAGGATAGTCTTCATTCCTTACCCTGGAACCATTCCATGTGGGCACTGTCCTGGCTTTAAATCAGTGTCATAGGGTACAAAGCCCAACTCCCTGGAGAAGCCCAGCTACAATGGATTACTTTTACCTATTGCCTTCCTCCCCCTGCCTTACACAGGGTGTGTGATGGACAGAGCGGGAGCAGGAGCTGTGCAGGTGGAGTTTGCTCTGCCCTGGGGTATGAGGTGAAATCACACATCCCCCAGTCCTGCTGGGCCCTGCTCTGTCCCTGTTCCCTCATCACCTGGCTGTCCCTGGGGCTGTCCCAGCAGACCCCGGTGTTGCCAGCCCCCAGTGCCACGGCTGGCTCGGATGTACCGTGCCTGCCACGTCCCACTGCGGCTCCACAGCCTCTCCAGCCGCGCTGGGCTCCGGGAACTCGTGCCCGTGCCCCGCGGTGGCACTGAGCCATCACACCCTCCCAGCCCTGGACCCTGCCACCGTCACACCTGGGGTTTGTAATCGAGCGCTCCTTCCTGTGCCAAAACATGAGCGCTGAGCGGGATTCCCGGGAGCCTCTTAGTAACACAGGCGGGCACTGCCCGGGGGTTCCCCGGGGTGTAAACACAGCGGGGCAGGGGATTAGCTCCAAAGCACCCTCCTGCCAGCCAAGTCGCACTGCCCAGCCCTTGACACTGTTTCTCAGCCGAGGAACAGAGCAGTTGACAGAAATGATAGAAGGCTCTCAAATCCTGACTGGCAGGGGAGGAGATGAATAATGGCTGGATTTACTGTTTTGTTCTAAAGGCAGACGGGCACGCAGCGAAACCAGCAGATGTCAGGTTCAATGCCCACAAAGGGAGGCGTTTTCTTTGCGCCAGGTGCAGCAAAACTGTGTGGGATTCATTATTTCAGGATTTATGGGCTTTACACGGGCTCAAAAGCCGACCAGACAAGACCACGAAAGAGAAATCCATTGAGATCTCCGAGCACAAAGGCACATTGTTGGCTCTGGCCGTGCCTGAGCCATGAGTCACCAGAGGCGGGGAAATGTCTCTGCCCGCTTGCCTGGTCTTTATCCTCAGCCCCGGGCAGCAAGGGCTCGAGGCGGGTGGTGCATCAGGGACCTGTCGCTTCGGGGAGTACAGCAGGTCATGTGTGAACCTCACATCACCCGGGTGTTATTTAAGGTGAAAGGCGAAGAGCTGCCTCCTTCCCCCGGGCTCTGCTTTGCAGCACAGCAGCTCCTCGGGGCGCACAGCACAGCTGGGCACGGCGGCACCTGGGCAGCTTTGGCAATAAAAAAAATCTATTTTTAGTAGTATAATTCCCACGTAGCGTTTGAAGAAGGTGCAATTGCTCTGTTGTGGCTTGGGAGTGCAAAGGGAGGAGCCTTATCAGGAGTACATGGAGCTGCTTCCCGTAAACACACCTGTGTTCTGGGCAGCCCGGCTGCAGTGGGTGCATCACCCACACCGGGGTGCGGCTCCACAGCTCCCAGCCAGGCCAGAATCTCCCCAAATCCTGGCCAAAGATTATTTATGTCACGGTGTGCCATGTCCCTCGTGCCTCCCGGGGCGAGGATTTCAGCCCCCGCCGCTGTGGGAGGTGTGGGAAGTCCTGCACTGACCTGTCATCGTTTCCTGATCGCTCAGAATTCCCAAAGACACCTGCAGGTGGCTGATAACAGGCACTGACTGGAAATAACGCCACGGCGGCACTTTTGTACTCAACAAGTGGCTGTTGATGAGTCACAGAATAGGGGCTGGAAGGGACCTCTGGAGAGCGTCCAGTCCGACTCCCTGCCAAGGCAGGGTCACCTAGAGCAAGTGACACACGGACACATCCAGGTGGGTTTGGAATGTCTCCAAGAGAAGGAGACTCCACGACGTCCCATGGCAGCCTGAAGAGCGAAGCCGGTGGGAAAATTGCTTTCCCTGCTTTACTGCCACGTGCCGTGGAAAGTCCCACTTGTCTCCATCAGAGCTCTCCCTACAGCACTCCTCTGACGGGATGGGTGGGATGGACACTGCTCTGGCACCCGGGGCTGGTTCCCTGCCCACCACGGCCGCTCCTGCCCAGGCACCTGCCGGATTATGGTCAAGATCCCATGAGTGACCCCCAAGGGCGATTTTCTCTCCTGTCCTGGCCTGGTGCCCCGCGGGCCGGTCCGGGATGGGGGGAAAGGGCAGATGTGGGTGTTCAGGGTTCTTTGTGTCGGTCACCGTGGCCCGCGTGAGGCCGAGACCCCGCGGGCCGGGGGCTCCCGTGTGCGAGGGGAGGGCGGTGCGGGCGGCGGGCCCGGCCGGTCCCCAGCCCCGGGGATGCTCCCCTGGGCGAGTCACACCCCGGGCCGGGGCCGGGCGGGGCGGAGCGCTCAGAGCGGCCGGGATGGGGCAGCCCCCGCCCCGCCAGGCCCGGGGGCGGTGCCGCAGGGCCGGCCCGGCGCGGCGGGGCCCGGCCCGCAGAGCCCCAGCGCCGCCGCCATGAGCAGCGCGGAGCCGCCGCTCGGCGCCGGGCCGCGGGCTCAGCCCGCCTGGCAGCGGGAGATCCTGGAGCGCAAGCGGGCCAAGCTGGTGGGGGCGGGCGGCGAGCCCGAGCCGCCCGCCGGGGAGCGGCTGGTGGTGGCCGAGAGCCTGGGCCCGCTCCGCGAGAACCCCTTCATGCGGCTGGAGAGCGAGCGCCGCCGGCTGCGGCAGGGGCGGCCCGGGCCCGGCGCGGCGGCGCGGCCGCTGCAGCAGCTGCTGGAGCTGTACAGCGCCGTGCCCGGGATCCGCACCATCCGCGCCGACAACATCCTCATCATCGAGTCCCGCACCGACCCCGCCGCCTGCTTCGCCGCGGGGGACGCGCCGCCCGCCCGCCGCCGGGACCCGGCCGGCCCCGACCCGCTGCGGGAGCTGCTGGCCCGGCGCGGGGCCGCGCTCGCCGAGATCCGCGCAGACCAGGTCGTCATCTACGAGACGACCGAGCCGCCGGAGCCGCCCGAGGCGGCCGAGCCGGGCACCGTCAGCCGCCTCCTGGAGAAGTTCGGGCAGCGCCCGCGGGGCCGCCGCCGGCGCGGGGGGGACGCGCTGAGCGGGACCGGCGCCGGCGGGGCCGCGGCTCCTCCGCAGGTGGGACCGGGCGCTGCCCGGG